ACTCTTTTATTAGTACTAAAACAGAGTCGGGCCGGCGCCCGTTTTTGGGGTCGTGCGGGTCGTTTTCAGACTCTAAAACAGGGTCGTTTGTTCTATGCGGGCAAACAGAGATTCCACACAGCAGATCCCTGAAGAAATTACTGTATGCACTTAGTCAAGATAGTTAATAAGGTATCGCAACGAAACTTGCGCACGAATGAAAGGTCGATACGGTACGGGGAAGATTGGTATACTCTGACGGAGCAGAGTAGAGCGCAGTGAGCGGATACGGGCGTTGTGACATAGGTGGGGTACAGGATTCCAAATCGTATGACTACCTTACCCTATTCCAGTACCCATGCACTTAGTACTACCTTGTGAGCCTTGAGATTTATCTCATCAACAAAATCTTCATCCTCCTGCAGTGTTTGAAACCAGTACTGAAGTCAGGTTAGACCTGTAATTATTCCATATCAAGCAGAACTGTTCCCCCATTTTGATAACAATCAATTCTCTTTTAGAAGTAAATCAAGCAAATATAAGCTTTGATGTTTTTACAATTCCAGGATTATACACAAAAAAATAGGGAATTAACATGTAAATTGTACTCAACCCAACCTCTCCCCATCTAATCAGTAACTTTCTTTAATGTTTAAAATTATCCACCATTAACAAATGGCTAGAGCTGTTTTAGATCAAGAACACAAAGAACGGAATGGTACACGTACAGAACAGTACAAAAAAGTACCGAATGGTACGGAAGAGTACAAAACGGTATGGAACTGTACGGAATGGGGATGGAGCAATTTGAAAAAGAAAATCGAGGAACGACCATTTCAGCTGAACAAGGAATAATCGATTTCAAAATAATCGGAACACTATAAAGCTACAAACTTCAAAATGGTGTCCAATGTCCATCGATTTGAGTTTTCAAACTTAACTTCTTGATAGCTGATGAAAATGAAAAATAAATATATGACAAACAACTTTTTGGTGAAAATTTCAGAGATATATTGTTTTGAATTTAGTTTTAGAAAATCTTTTCAAAAAACAAAAATTTATTTATCATGAGAGTCTAAAACCTGTATTAGATAATATTTGAAAATGTATCATAAAAAAATTAGAAGCAATGGAGATTTAAATCTCGAGAATAAAATGATAGACCCGAGGGCGTAGCCACAGTTATTTTTGAATCTTGTAAAGAGCTGGTTTGAACATTGAGCAGTACAATTTACAAATAAGTAATAGATAAGCAGAATTCAAGGAAAATTTGTATGTGTGGCGGAAGATGATCTGAGTCTGAGCAGGATATGAAGACGCGGCAAGAGGAGCTACAGTTCTGCCACGTCACCGATATATATATGATTTTTGATACTTTAAATTTACAGAATCAAATTATTTAGTTAATAAAGTATTTATTTAAACCTGGGTCTCGTTATATTGAGCGTAGTTAAATATGTACCTAAAAACAGCTTATTATAAAGAAATTTATATTATCAAATGTTGTTGTTTATTTTTACAACATATTAATATCAAATTTTGTTTACAAACCATAACTAAGTAACTGTCTTCAAGACATATTACGAAGTCAAGGTAATAAATTAATACTAAAAAATAAATAAAATAGTAGCTAATTTGGAGCCCCCTCCGCCTCCCCCTCCCCTCCATCTCTCCCTCCCCCTTCTCATAGATAGATATTTTTTAGACCAATAGTTTTCTAGGATTTGGTGAGACGTACTTAGCTGAAGAAGGATGGGAGAGACCTCTTGGTAAAATAATCAATTTTTAATTGCTTCAAAAGTATTTGTATGAGACTATTCTAATTTTTAAACACGTCTAGTTTCAGGCGCGCACGCCCTTGAAATTTACAGGCCTTTAGCCAAACTTTTGGAAATTCCATTACAAATGAAAGTAGAAACTGTAATATTCGTTTTTACTATGTTTTAGAAGTTATTGAAGTTTTGCAGATTCTAAAACATATTTTTTGTTTGATTTCAATTTCCCCCATGCAATTCAGAAATAAAAAGCACTAAACATTTCTAAGATACTATGATGGGGGGGGGGGCAAGAAAAAGAAGGGCGAGTCGCGAGATGCATTCATGTTCTTCTTTTTCAATTTAATCGTGTTTTATGGTCTTTAAATTATCAATTTTTTAGTTTTTTCATTAAAAACGCATTTGTCGACAAAGAAAAGGCGAAAGTCCCAGCTTGCTGGGATAAGATCAGAACTGTTAAATCCGCATGAGGGGTAAAAGATATGTACCCTTGAATTCTTAAACTTTATGTTACAGATTGCATCCCTGAAAACTGTGTTGAAGTTGGCGTGTTGCACTCAGGAATAATATTTAACAGGATTATAAATTAAAATGTTTAAATAATCTTTGACAAAATGTCATAAGAAAATGATAAAATTTTTGTGACGAATTTTTGTTAATATAAAAATAATTTTAATTTATATTTACTCTTACTCCACTTCTCAGTGACATTAATCCAACTAAAATGGGATGACTTTTTATGGTGTACCGTCCCGTTTGGCTTCAAATAGCCAGCCTAAAGGTCAGTGTGGTACTTCCAATATTCCAGAGTTCACAGTATGATTCTATCTAGATGAAAAGGGGTTAAATTTTGGCAAACTTATTAACGTTTTTATAATTATTAACGTTTAATTAAGCTTATTAACGTTTTTATGATTATTAACGTTTAATGCTTATTAACGTTTTTATTAACGTTTTTAAGCTTATTAACATTTTTATGCCTATTAATGTTTTTAAGATTATTAACGTTTTTATAATTATTAAAGTTTTTAAGAGTATTAACATTTTATGCTTATTAACGTTTTTATGATTATTAACGTTTTTAAGCTTGTTAACATTTTTATGCTTATTAACTTTTTATGATTATTAACGTTTTTATGATTATTAACGTTTTTATGATTATTAACGTTTTTAAGCGTATTAACATTTTTATGCTTATTAACGTTTTTTATGATTATTAACGTTTTTAAGCTTATTAACATTTTTATGCTTATTAACATTTTTATGCTTATTAACGTTTTTATGATTATTAACGTTTATATGTTTATTAACGTTTTATGTTTTTTTACGTTTTTATGATTATTAACGTTTATATGTTTATTAACGTTTTTAAACTTATTAACATTTTTATGCTTATTAAGGTTTTATGATTATTAACGTTTTTATGCTAATTAACGTTTTTAAACTTATTCATTTTTTATGCTAATGAACGTTTTCATACTTATTAACATTTTAAGCCTATTCACGTTTTTATACTTAATGTTTTGTTTACTTATTAACGTTGTATGCATATTAACGTTTTAGGTTTTTTAAGGTTTTTATACTTATTAACGTGTTTATACTTATGAACGTGTTTTTACTTATTAACGGTTTATGCTTACAACGTGTTTATGTTTATTAACGTTTTATGCCTTTTAACGTTTTTATGTTAAGCAACGTTTTTATACTTATTAACGATTGTTTTAATAGGGCCGGTCGTTTATAATAAAAATGATGACGTTGCATCTTGCATTACCGATTCTTAAAGTTATTAACAATCACTCAGTTATTATCGATTACCGATCGTAATAAATTGCTGGTAATTTTTTTTTAATTGTTGATGATAAAAACAAACTTTGCAATTGACCAACACTTATTCTTTTCTTTAAATCAATCGTATTGACAATGTTTTTGCTAATTTCTAATTCATAATTAATAAATGAAATTTTGTTTTCAATAAAAGGTTTATAAACTTAACTCACCATTATTAAATACTGTTGAATAATTGTAATCAAAGGAGGATCTGCAGGAAGTGAGTATATTTGACATAATTTACATGGGTCCATACCTACCCAACAGTTTCCTACAGTGAGAGAGATAACTCTGAAATAGGAAGACTTATGATATCGCTTATCAACTGTCATGAGTCTGTTTACAGTTTACACTTATATAGGTTGGGTCTAAAAGTCGTCTTCCTATTCCAGAGTTTCCGGTTGTAGAATAGCAAAGAATGTTGCACAAAACAAACCAAATTACTTTTACTTGATATCTCCTTGAAACTTCTTAAATTGAAAATTTGAAATTTGAAAATAAATTTTTATCTAAACATTGTAAATTTGATATCTAAACATTCTCAGCAGTCAATGTCCCTTAATAAGAGATGGGCATCGAATTTTAAAAAACGAAATTTTTGAGAACGAACGAAATTTTTCGTGAAAAAGGGTGTCGGTCAGAAAAAAAAGATGAACAATGGACGAAATAAATGGATCGCTCAGAGAAATGATAAATGATTGTTTTTTAAAAACAAACAGAACAAAACGAAAACCAACGATTTAAAATCGTTCGACCGAACTTGAAAAGCAAAAGAACTTGACCCAACGCATTTTACAAAATGTATTGAAAAAAATGAAAGTTTTTTTTACGGAACGAACGATTTTACTAAACGATCATTCAGTAAGAAAACGAAGGAAATAGATGGAAAATTAATTGTAATTTTGAATGATAACAATGAGTAATAATTTTTTCTTGAATCGAAATTTATCGTTCACGAACGAAATGGTAAAAACATCTCTAGTTCCCATCCCTAGTCCCTTTACCCTCACAGCTTAAATACCTAACTGGTCAGTTTCAAGGAATCCACAAATATCTCAACTATTTTAAAATTTTATTATATCTCAATTTGTAACCTTCTTTAAATAAAACTTAGAATTTTTATCTGCAATTTGGGGTTTCGAACTCCAAAATACATTTATTAAATACTTGCACATTTTTATAATTTCCTACTTTTTCAGCTTCTGTGGGAAAATTTAGCCTGGGTGAATGTGCGTGTATTTGCAAGGCAACACCTTTATGTGTCCAATTTATGTCCCATGTTGATGGAAACTGTATTATGAAATCAACTTTTGGTCCAAGAGGCATAGATGCTGCTTATATTGATGGCAAACTTAACTGTTAAAACAAAACATAAAAATAATCTATTGGAAAAAATTTGGTCTTTTATTTCACAGATTGGCAGGCTTAAAGCACTTTTAATATTTTAGGACCATATATATATATATTTAATAACCAAATATTTAATCAGGTATTTTAAGAAAAAGGAAATTAAAATATATTACTTTTTGTTTATCCTTTTGTTGTGATGTTAATAAACATACTACAATCACATGGTTTATAAAAGTTTATACAATTTGATTTTTGGTTCAATAAATCTTTTTATAAATGTGGCTTGTCTAGGTGTTTGTTTGTTTGTCTAAAAAACGTTTCAATGGCTTGACTTATCGGACCCCATCCCAGTCATATGTCCCCAGAAACAAAATCTCAATGTTTTTATGTTTAGAAATCAACAGAAAAATCCGCAAAATTTTGAGTTTTACAATAGCAAAGAAAAAAAGACGGATTGAAAAGCAAAATTTGAACGCTAAAACTGTTTCAAAAAAAAGAAAGCCTCGTAATTTAAAAACCATTATGTCAATATTAATATCATGAAATATTTTTGCATGAGAAAACTGCAATACTTTTCATATTGCACTACTTACTACATTTACTTTAAATGGTTTGATAGTTGCAGGATGGGATGGATCGTTTTAATTTTTTTTGAAAAAATTATCAACGAAGAAAAAACGAAACGGTAATTTTTGAAATAAATCGTTTTTTTAATGGAAAAGCGAAGAAATCGTTTTTACTTTTAGTTCCTCGTTTCTTTAACGAGGGTTGATTGTTTGTAATTTTTGACGATTGTTAACGATCGTTAATGACTGTAAACGACGACCTTTCATAAACATTACCGAACATTCGTTGACGACAGCACTTGGTTAACGATCTGCCTTTGTAGAATAGATTATTTATATCCCAATTATGTCATTACCATACACTATATACTTAAATATTAGGTCTTTTAGATTTATCAAATTGTACAAAAATCTGATAATTTTAGCTTTTCCTTGACAAAATCATGGTTAATTCCACAGACTACACAGACTGCTCATACACTGTACCTGGATAGGCTGAGCAGGCCTATAGTGTCCTGCAGTCATGCTACAGTTCCATGTAATGTTTTTTGACTAACATCTAACGACCACTTGTCGCATTCAGGGGTTTTACAACTTTTAAAGAAATACTCCAATTTTAAACATGAAACATATTTATAAATTTGTCTTTTTTGAAGATATTGTATTTTCTATCTAAAAGATCCTTAAATATCCCTGAATACAGATGTCTCCTGATTGGTCGTGTACAGTACAGTTGTACACAATGGAAGATGCTGTGAAAAATATCGCATTGCATACGGTTTCAATCGATCAATCGATAGGTTTACATCCAAGAAAAATAAATGCAAAAGAAAAAATTGGCTGGTTTGTAGGTTATTTAGCTCTGTCCCATAAAGCCCATTTTGCTGCGAACAATTTTACACCGTACAATGAATCCTTAAAAATGTCTCTACAATTCTGTACTCTCAGCTTTACGCGGCCACTCCCTTTAAGCCTAACATCGTACACAATTACACAAAACATATTTATCATATTTTATTTTTTGACAACATGGATTTGTGTTCTAACTGTTACAGATGGAAAGATGTACTGTAGATTTTCGTTTTGTTTAAATTTTGAATATTTCGACTTATCTTCTGCTGGCCGCGGCCTTTCATCTCGTACAGACGGGGTTTGCTGGTATCTGACTGTCGGTAATCTATAATTTCCCTGCCATCTTGAGGCTTCTGATATACTCCTGTCAAAATGTCCCAACAAAGTTCTGTTCTCATTATATTTAGATTCATCAATCTAAAGGAAATAATAATAATAATAATAATAATAATAATAATAATAGAGAAGTAGTGTACAGAGTAAAAAAATGATGGATTCACGGAGATTCTTCATTGTTTAATAAAATTTTTAATGAAATTCTGAATATCTCCAATAATCTGAAAAAACCTCACAAATTATTTGGAGAATCAAAGATAGACTGTTGCAATTTATGTGAATGAAGAAGACGACATTATTTTCCCAACATCAAGACCAAATTTAGTTTGATTAAAACATTCATAATTATGCAAGGGTTTATACCTGAGGCGGGCTGAATAAGTTGAAGTAATTTGAAAAAGTTTCTGAAATTAAAACTGTTCTTAAAACTTAAAAATTTTGTATTTTTATGAGAAAAAAAAATAGTGTTTTACAATTTTTGATATCTAAAAAGTATTTTTACCTTTTTCCATATCAAATGGTTGAGCGTTTCTGAAAAGAAAAAAAATTCAAATAAAAGATTTTTTTAATAATCAGTTAAATATTACCTATTTAACTGCCAAGGGTATATTTGATCTTGTGTATTTGAATTCTAAAAAATTTTAAAGATTTTTATTTTTAAATCATTAATTATTTACAACTACTTTACAGCTGGAAGTTAAGGAAATTTTACACAACTATGCAATGCGGATGGTTATTTTACTTAATTGTCCCAAGGGACGTTTATTAACAGCAGAACGTCCTTCTGTTAAGGGAATCATGGGTCGGTAATGTTGGCCAAAAGTAAAATATATTTTTCTAGCTATTTTCAGCTTATATCTTCTATAAATAATATAATATAGCTCTGCGATCATATATATATTTTTTTCTTTAAAATTTATTTTATTTTATTTTTTTATTCCACGGGCAAAGCCCGGCACTTGAAGTAGTTTGTAATTAAAACCTGAGAATCAGTTAGTCGAGTAGGAGAGGTGTCATCAAAATTTAATCTAAAGAGTAAACACAATGGAGTCAATAAAAAAAAGAATAAGTTAAATTAAATTTTCTCTTTTTCTCCAGAAATAAAGAATACCTGCTTCCTGTTTCTACATACCTGCATCCTGTTTCTACATACCTGCTTCCTGTTTCTACATACCTGCTTCCTGTTTCTACATACCTGCTTCCTGTTTCTACATACCTGCTTCCTGTTTCTACATACCTGCTTACTGTTTCTACATACCTGCTTACTGTTTCTACATACCTGCTTCTTGTTTCTACATACCTGCTTCCTGTTTCTACATACCTGCTTCCTGTTTCTACATACCTGCTTCCTGTTTCTACATACCTGCTTCCTGTTTTTACATACCTGCATCCTGTTTCTACATACCTGCTTCCTGTTTGAGAATACTTACCTTCCGTTTCTAAATACTGTTTTCATATTCCTGCTATCTGTTTTTCCATACCCATGCCTCCTGTTTTAGAAATCCTTCTTCCTGTTTCTAAATAGCTGTCTCCTGTTTTTATATATCTGCTTCCTGCTTGAGAATACCCACTCCCTTTTTTTCAATGTATGTCTCCTGTTTTACCTGCTTTCCGTTTGGAAATACCTCCTTCCTGTTTTAAAATACCTGTTTTCTGTTTCGTTGATAATTTTATTTTCTTCTTGGCTTTTGTAATCCATCTGAAATCATATTTATAAAATCAAATCTTTAAACAAAACTTTATTTTGTAAATAATTTCATTGTCTACAATCAACATCTTTTTTAATATATGTTTGAGGCCTATCTTAGCTGCGGCACTCGGCCTCCGCGATTGGCCCAGAAATTGGAATGGAAATGTAAATGAACATTATTTTAATTGCAGAATAAAAATGATTTTTTTTAAGCTAAAAAATTATGATTTTGTAATTCTTTGAATTAATAATTAATATATTTAAATAAAAACCTGATTTGCTGAAGGAATAAAAGTTTTATAAGCATAAACTTTTTCTTTGGTTATTGGTAATGGTAACTCCGGACCTAGATTTTTTATATCATTTCTCATGTATTTTTTATATAAAATTATTATAATGATTATTAACATTAATATTATCATTTTTACTATTATTATCATTATAATTTCATTAATATTCATATTATAATTATTATCATTATTATTATCACTATTAATAGTAATTGTATTCATTATAATAATTATTGTTATTATAAGTACAGTGATAACCAGGAAACAATAAAATATGAAGACGACATTACAACAATATTTAAGTGAATTTGATGTATGTTATAAGCCAATAGTTTTACTAGACTCTGATCAAATCCCTAATTAAGTGAGTTTGGCCTGTTTCACCAGCACAATTACTGCATCTCATGCTCATGGGACTTTTCAAAGTTATAACTTATTCTAAAAGTCGTCTTCCTTTTTCAGAGTTTTCTGGTTATCACTGTATCAATACCGTTGTATGTGTTTTTCTTTTGCTTCCATTGTTCCAATATTACTGTTAAAAAAGTTTTCTGATTTACCAATTGAGCACTGACCAGACCCCCTGTATATAAACAGATTTATATATATATATACATATATATAAGCATTTTACATTATCAATCCCATCAGTCCTCATAAAATGGAAAATTTGAAAAACCAAAAAAATATATGACAGCCTAAAAGACGACATTCAAAATAGTTTCGAAAATGTTTACTAATCACAAAACTTTCTTCTTTCAACTTTATTAACGGGCTATTGAGTGTTGATGACAAAATGACAGCGCCATCTTCTTTTTATCTTTTTAGGCCGTCGAATTGTGAATGATAAGATAAGATAAATAAGGAACACTTCGTCAACCTTGATTATTTTAAATAATAATGTTTTCAGCACTAAAAGAAGTACCGCGAACTGTCTTTATTAAGCAGAGCTAAGAGATAATAATATGCATGCTGCATGCAGTTAAACCCTTTGTATTGTACCGTTTTACCTTTGTGTACGAAATAAATCTATAATAACAATAATAAATGAGCCATACATCGAAAGAAGTTATCAAATGTCGTCTTGACAATTTTTCAATAGGTTTTATACTTTTTTATGTAAATCTCAGTAATTGCGAAAAAAATAGGCATCAATATGCGGAAACAGTTTTGAAGAGTTCCATATAATCATTTGATTAAATATCTGCAACATTTCATTATCAGAAAGTCAAGAATACGACATTTGATAAATTCTTTCGATGTATAGCTTATTTAGGGTTCAATTGTGGTAAAATTTAAACCACAGATTTAAAGTTAAAGATTCAGTAAGGATTTGAATCGGTGATGCAAATTTGAACCGGTGGCAGGTGCAGTTGAAATTCATTAATACGGTCTTTGGATATATCTTCACCTGTTCTAGGTACAGAGAAGACCAGGAGAACAAACCAACCCTGTCCTAACATTTTAGATCTGCTAATATCTATCAAATATTTAAACCGTCTGGATAGAAAAATATAAAAACTAGCTTGGGAACCCAGATTTGCCTAGAAAATAAGTTTTCTTTATAAGAGTCGACCTTCTCAACTTAAACCTTTCAAACCAAGCTAAATACATTCCCGTGGTCTTACCGAGTTCATCAGTCAAATATTAAGGCAAATCCGTCCTGGGTTCCTGAGTTATGTTCAGAAATAAAACAAACAAACAGAAAAATTACTATTTCTTTTACTAATTGTTTGTCTGTTAGGGTGTTGATCCAATAAACGTCAAAACGGCTAAACCGATCAGGCCCAAATTTTTCGTGGGACCTTTCGTGGCCCCAGCGAAGGTTTATGAATAATCCAAATTTTAAAAATTTGCCTTAAAAAAATTCGATTTTCATAAACTTTTGAAAATCCATGAAATTTTGGATTAATTTTGTTTTTGTTTTTTAATGAAAACAAAGAGGAAACGTTAACAATAGAAATAGAATATGGGCGCAAAAAAAAAGGCTAGTTGTACAATGTACATGTGAATGAAATCTAGATTACTTTTATATTATCAGGCTTTCATGGCTTTTCATGCCCATTCTCTATACAAAATTTTGCTTGAATTCCTTTTTTTAAATGGTGGCGTCAAACCTTATAGAAATCCAACGTATAGAAACAGCTACGTATAGCAACATGGCGTATTTTCCGGGAGAATTTTTTTATATTTTTGAGAATTAAACGTTTTTGTAAAACATTGTAGCTTATCATTATCATTATCATAATTTCTATTGTTTTTACCCCTAGACATTAAAGGAGCAAAATAGTTTCATATGTACATTTGTACTGCTCTCTATTGTGTTTAAGGTCCCCCAGATTTTATTATGTACTGACAACATAAATGAATGATTATATGGTTAAACATAAATTTGGATGTTACTATTTAAAAAAATATTTTAAAAAAATTCTATCTTCAGTTCTATTTTTAGAGAAAAAAAATTTCTCGAAAGTATTAAAAAGTTCTCCAGTAATGCAAATATGATTTCAAATAATTCCGTTTTACCATTTAGATAAAATTGGATTTTATGAAAATTATATCTACTTTACACTGATTATTTAATTTCTCAAAAATATAAAAAATGGTCTCCCGGAAAATACCCCATGTTGCTATACGTAGCGGTTTCTATGCGTAGGATTTCTATAAGGTTTGACGCCGGTTTTGGCGTCAAACCTAATAGAAATCCAACGTATAGAAACAGCTACGTATAGCAACATGGCGTATTTTTTCTGGGCAAAATAATTCAACTTCGACTCTTCATAAACTTCCGTGATTCAACCGTTTTGATGTTTATTGTATTCAGGCAAACAGAGAAACAGACAGACAAGCCAAATTTATATGGAGATACAACACATTATACAAATTACTTTTGAACTCACATGCTCCGTAATTCTAAATTGTAACTGAAGATAAAGAGAAATTTTCATGAAATCGATTCCGTAAAAACAAAAATACTTCCGGTAGCAGACAAAAAAAACTCATTTTACAATAAAATCAAAATTTAAGAGAAAAGTTTTTCTGCATTTTTTAAAAGTTTTAAAAGAAACCGGAAAAAGTTGCAAAAACTGCGTTTTGCGTTTTATTTTTAAAAAAATTGTTTTAATTTCTCTTGCCCTAGTTATAAAAACAGTCAGCCCCATTAACTGGTGTAATTATGCATTATGACAATTTTTTTTAAATGCTTTCTCTTTTATTTTAGGTCACATTGTACAGAAAAAATATTATTTTAGATACGGTGTTAGGCGATTATATCAAAAGAAGTGATCAGTTAGTAATCAAGTAATCAGCTTATAGTGATCAAGTGATCAGCTAGTTATTAAGTGATCAGCTAGTGATCAAGTGATTACCTAGCGATCAAGTGATCAGCGAATGATCAAGTGATCAGCTAGTGATCAAGTGATCAGCTAGTGATCAAGTGATCAGCTAGTGCTCAAATGATCAGCTAGAGCTCAAGTGATCAGCTAGTGATCAAATGATCAGCTAGATCAAGTGATCAGCTAGTGATAAAGTGATCAGCTAGTGATAAAGGGATCAGCTGGTAATCAAGTGATCAGCTAGTGATCAATTGATCAGCTAGATCAAGTGATAAGATGATCAAGTGATCAGAAGATCAAGTGATCAGATGATCAAGTGATCAGATGATCTAGTGATCAGCTAGATCAAGTGATCAGCTAGATCAAGTGATCAGCTAGATCAAGTGATCAGCTAGATCAAGTGATCAGCTAGATCAGGTGATCAGATGATCAAGTGATCAGACGATCAAGTGATCAGATAATCAAGTGATCAGACGATCAAGTGATCAGATGATCAAGTGATCAGATGATCAAGTGATCAGATGATCAAGTGAGCAGATGATCAAGTGATCAGATGATCAAGTGATTAGACGATCAAGTAATCAGATGATCAAGTGATCAGATTATCAGATGATCAAGTGATCAGATGATCCTCCTCCTCCTTTCAGGTTTCTCTTGAATCGATCTCTGTATGACAAACAAACAGACACACACACGAGCAGACATAAATACAATCAATTTGATAAAATCTGTATTTAAAGCAAGTAAATAATAACATCTGTTAAATGAATTTTAAGCTTTCAGGATTTGTTTCATATTTGATACAAATACGTTGTTTAATAAACCGTATGGATCAATTATACGCTATAATAAATATTATAAAATATTAAGATAATATTTACATTTATCTGAATTTATCAAAGTTATGATAAAATTGCTGTAGAATAATAAGACCAATTAAAGGGACTGTAAGACATATATTTTGACTTATGTAAGACGTTCACTAGGTTTCAACTTAATATCTAGGTCATTAAATTCTTTGGTAATATATATGAATATATATGTAAGCTATAGTTGGCTACATTTGGGTGACAAACCCATGGGTGACATAGGCAACCAAAAAATGTAATTCCACGTACAGTTCGCTAAATCACAATTAAATACCAAGCGTAGATAAACGGTCTTAGTAACTATGACTGACTAATGGTCAGGGCAACGCCGAGTACTCCAGCTTGCGTTTCATATCAAACAAATATTTCTTACGCGTCTTTAATAATTTAAAAAAGAAACAAAAATATTAAATATCTTAAGTTGCATTTAATATGCAATTGTACAATCATAACAATTAGAACATTTGTTATTTAACATCAGAACATATTCTTCTAGTCAGGTCCTGTAGAGGCTCATAATCCTTAGCAGATATCAGGTTGTACTCCTGCAGTACACGTAGTTAATATGTTGTACTCATGCAGTACAATTTATAAATAGGTTATATGTACTCATTCAACACACTTTGTTATAAGTTTGTACTCCTACAGTACACGTTATTATAAGGTTGTACTGCTGCAGTACACTTTATAATTAGATTGTATTCATGCAGTACACTTTATAATTAGATTGTACTCATCCAGTACACTTTATTATTAGGTTTTACTCCTACAGTACACTTTATTATTAGGTTGTACTCCGACAGTTGAATTTATTATTAGGTTGTACTCCTAGAGTACAATTTATTATTAGGTTGTACTCCGACAGTACACTTTATTATTAGGTTTTACTCCTACAGTACACTTTATTATTAGGTTGTACTCCGACAGTAGAATTTATTATTAGGTTGTACTCCTAGAGTACAATTTATTATTAGGTTGTACTCCGACAGTACACTTTATTATTAGGTTTTACTCCTACAGTACACTTTATTATTAGGTTGTACTCCGACAGTAGAATTTATTATTAGGTTGTACTCCTAGAGTACAATTTATTATTAGGTTGTACTCCGACAGTACACTTTATTATTAGGTTTTACTCCTACAGTACACTTTATTATTAGGTTGTACTCCGACAGTAGAATTTATTATTAGGTTGTACTCCTAGAGTACAATTTATTATTAGGTTGTACTCCGACAGTACACTTTATTATTAGGTTTTACTCCTACAGTACACTTTATTATTAGGTTGTACTCCTACAGTACAATTTATGATTAGGTTGTACTCCTACAGTACAATTTATTATTAGGTTGTACTCATGCAGTACACTTTATTATTATGTTGTACTCCTACAGTACACTTTATTGTTAGGTTGTACTCCGACAGTAAACTTTATTATTAGGTTGTACTCCGACAGTAAACTTTATTATTAGGTTGTACTCCGACAGTAAACTTTATTATTAGGTTGTACTTTTGCAGTACAACCTAAAATGTTCGGTACTTTCCCAAAGGCATTCTCCCAAGTGACAATTTCCCAATTAGCAATTTCCCAAATGTGCAATTTCCCAAGCGGCAACTTCCCAAAGGTTAGGTTATGCCTTCAGAGGCGCCGCATGCTGCAATTTCGGCCGAGCGCTGCGGCTAGGATGGGCTAGTTAGGATGGGATGGGAAGTTGCTACTTGGGAAAATACCCTGGGGAAGTTGCCACTTGGGAAAATACTCTGGGGAACCTGTCACTTGGGAAAAATTCTTTGGGAAACTACCTAACATCCAACTTAATAACCCCTTTCCTTAAATGATTTTAGACCTAAGAAAGGCAGTATAATTGTTTTATATCTTAGAAAGGCAGTAGAACTGCTTAATACCTTAGAAAGGCAGTAGAACTGCTTGTAAAGAGCATTAGCATGCACCTCAGCTTTAATCTCATTCAGTCTGTAAAGAGTATGCTTAAGAAGCCATTTGTGGAATCTCTATTCCCGGATTTACATGTTTTGACGTTGCAGTTATAGATTGAAAAAGAAATATATCCCAAATATTGAAGACATAGTTTTACCTTAAAAAGATCAGATAACGAATTTTTTTAACGCAATGCCGGATTTACAACGGTACCCTTGACACCAAAATCTGATCAAAAATGTGAAAGATAACGTCGTTTTTCTGATTCAAAAAGTGTTTAATTCTGTTAACTTCTCAATTGTTACTTATAAACAGAAACCACAAATGAAAAAAAACAGTTTGAATAAACAAATACATGTAATATCTAATTCATTTTTGATCACACAACACTTTTAAGAGTACCGATGATATTCGGGCATTGCCATCTTTGCAATTACGCTAACACTCCCTTTAACATTTTATTTTAACGCAAATATATGACCAATCTATTTATATTTCCTTAGCTTCAGTTCATTTTGATAGAATCATGGAACTATTGCTCTTTACACTAAACTTAAATTGTAAATTTGTAGTTCTTATCATAACATTAATAACATTATATATAAATTATAAGATATTACCCCGTTTTAAATTAATTCAAATTTTTAAATTAAATTATCTGGATAAAAAAACATAATCTATAATAAATCCAAAATTAAATTTAATTAAACTTTTCTTTGCAATTCCCTAAGGATTCAATCAACTAAACAAACAAGAATGCCCTTTCCTCTTTTATATACATTATGTTTTATGTTAAATTTTCATTCTCTCTGGCTTTAAGCAATAAAAAGCCAGAACCCCCCCCCCCCTAATATTTATATATATCATGGCAGCTGAGCTTTAAGGTTGTAGGGAGCGGAGGAGGTTGATTTCATTTTTAGTTTATGCATTGAAACAAATGTAAATTATTGGTATGAAGCCTAAATTCAATGCCGCCCCCCCCCCCCCGACTCGGCCAAACCCTTTCCCCTCCCCAATATATCTGAGCTGTATCTTTGTTTAAACAATATGTTTTATTTCTAGTGTTTCAAAGTTTACCAAACCAAGGGGTTTATTGTTCTTGTCCTTTCATAAAACAAACTTTAATCCTTTACACAGCCTTTGTTGTACACAGTGAGAGCCATAAAACTGTGGAATAGGAAGGTGACTCTAAACTCAGTTATGATTTAAAATAGTCGAATGATCATGAAACACAGCAATTGTGCAATTGTATTTAGATTCATTTGACGTAACAAGCTGATTTTCAAGTTTTTTGGTAAAAAGATGTTCTTCAACAACATCAAATGCACATCAGCGTCATCTTCCTATTCCACACTTTTATGGGTCTTACTGAAGCTTCAGAGGGATATTTTACCAAAAAACGGATTAACATAGAAAGGATCCTTTTAAACCCATAATACCCTTGTTTTGTGTAACGGAAATGAGTTTTTGTCACAAGCACTGATTCTTTAATTCCTTTATCTTTGCAACCCAATGTCGTATAAAACCTTTAGATATATAAAGCTATTAAATTTTAAATATCAAAGGTTTACACCATCGGGTTGCCAAGATATAGTAATTAGAAAATCGAAGTTTGTGGCAAAGACTCAATTCCTTTCGTTGGATTTCGTGAATATTTTGTGTGTAAACTATTTGTTTATCTTACCTATCGAAATGATGATAGTAAATGTGTACAAACACTCGATACAGTCGACGGAATATTCTTGAAATAACATCCTGGATTCTACTTATTTTCAAACGTGCTTTTTAAAAATTCATTCATGTTATTTTATCAAAAATAATAACTCTTTATTTCTATATTTAACTAGAAAATTTAAGATTAGATAATACGATTTAAAAACTAAACAGCTTTAAAGAGAATATTTCCGAAAATAGTTTAAGTTTGAAAAAAGTCCTTGAAATTTTTCGGAAAAGGGACATCGTCACAGGAGGGAAACACTTGCTCGTCGTTAATTATATCATCAACCCATTCTCAAATAGTTTATCATTTATTTTTTGTTTAAACAAATGTGAGGAATTAAATGCATTCTGAACAAGAGTTTTCGTGTTACAACCACATTTTAAAAAATGTTCCAACAAAAAAGTCCCAAATGTAAAGCAACATTTTTTATTTATTTTTCTAAAAAGTGATGATACTGGAAAGATTAAAATGTATAAAAACATAATATTGAACGGAAACATTCTAAAAAATATAATTTATCGCAAGAAGAACTTACTGTTCAGTATTACAAGGGTCTAAACTATTATTTTGTTAACACTAAGGTGGAGCCCTACCTTACTAAGTGGTTCTCCGAATCTTTCTGAATCTTTAAGCGCACTTTAGTGAAAACTGACTATTTACATGTTTCCCAAATTTTTCTAAAACTTTATTAGTAATTGTTTTAGACCATATACCAATTAATGTGATGATGTAACTTTTGAACAGGTTTATCATTGAATCCCACGAGGGGGTTTTAATTTCCATTGATTCTAATTTGTATGAGAGTAAATGACATTCCTTTATAAAAAATAACAAATTATTTTTATTATTTATTATTATTTTTAAAAGGGGCGGGATCAAATGAAAATTGTTGCATACCAAAAATTAAAAACCAGCTTTTTATAAAGGAATGACTATTTACATGATTTCCAATTTTTTCTGAAACTTTGATAGTAATTGTTTTAGACCATATACCAATTAATGTGATGATGTAATCTGGGGCAGTCATTTGAACAGGTTTCTTGTTTCTTTTATCGTCCTTGAAAATGATTTTTGTTTTGAAATTTTGAATATTCTATTTTGCTTTTTTTTTGTATCGATGAATTCGATGAATTTAAAGGTTCTGTAATTAATATTTAAATTTCTAGGGTTTTAGGTCGCTACGTCCCCCCTTTCCTCACAACTATTTTAGTTTTTGCTCTGAAAGTCGGCATTTTGAATAATTCTTAAATTTTCGCGGAATTTTTAGTTTTCAATTAGAATATTTTCAAAAAATTATGATTTTTAATTTTGCTTAAGCAAAGTTTTTAACTTCGATGGTTCAGAAACCCTCCTAGGGGTCATGTGAAATGCCAAAAAAATTGGGCTCGATCGGTTCAGCCGTTTAGACGGTTATTGTTTACAAACGGACAGGCAGACAGACAAATTGAAATTTCAATAAAAATAAGATAATAAGATAAGATAAGATACATATATATAATATAAAAGTGACCTAACATTTGTACAGTAACGTGTATGATTCACAACGGTACCCCCTTTAAACCTTGTGTAGCATGTGTGAATTGGACACATACTACACTAGAAATGAAGGGTCACTAGAAATTGTGTCCACAGTCCCTTTAAATAAAATATTGCTTAAATCTACTCTTTAAAAAGATCAAACAATATCATCCTGGATAAGAATTCAAGCTTTGCAAAATAAAATAAAAATAAAAATTTAAAAATCATTAAGTTTGTTTACATCATCAAACAAAAATGCCTAGATTTTTTTCTGAATTTGGGTAGATTTTACTTTAAGAAATCAGAAAAGAAAAAGACAATATACAGAAACCACATCAAATATTTTTCTTTAAAAAAAATATTTGTTTCTACAGAACTACCTTTTATGAAACCGGGTTCCCGATACTGGGTTTTATTATGATAGTCTCACTAAAGTTTAGGGCTCTGTACATCAACTACATGTCATTGTACACATGTACATATGCTTTAAGGAATTGTCGTTATAATTTTCAGTGTCACTCTATTTAAAAAGGACCATGGCCTATTCACAATATAACCTTGTAAACCTTAATCTGATCAATAATGTGGAATATCGTCGTGTTTAGGATCTATGATTAAGAGTTTAATGTTCACAATTTCTTCAATTTTTTCGTAAACCCCCACAAGTAAATAAATCAACTTGTGGAAAGAAGAACAGTGATTACACCATGATCCTAGTTCATAAATAGATTGATAGGGTCATTATAAATTACGTAATCAGTCCCTTTAAATTCACCCTAATGTGTGTCTTTAAGAGTAATAAGTTAAAACATAAAAATATGAATATAAATCGAAATTGATATTTCCCAAAACCAATCACTCTACAGGTCTATTTATGTTATTTTTTTAATAAAGATTTTTTTCCCCAGGACATGATCGGGTTGTTACGATCAAATCTCGGAATTTTTCTATTGGGAAAGTTTGGTGTTGTATGGGTTTACATTAATTTGCCATGGATTATAATCCGGCAGCACATTCATCCATCCACGCTTCATTCATCCTGAGAAGAGGGTTGACAAGATTCCAGCTGCCTAAGGGCTTCTTAGGCCTAAGAATAATAGAGTGTAGGAATTCTTTTGATATACAGGAATGAGGCCCGCGGGTGCCTTACAGACAGGAAACATCACACTCATTGCTCCCTAACATCTGTAAGCCCGGATTGGATACCTATAGCTGGCAACCATAGACTCTCCCTGCTTGTCAACCTTTCCTCTCTTCATCATCATTCACTGGGATCAATCAATTTAAAACTTATTTTTTGTTGAGTAGAAAGCACGCCCCCTTTCGCTGCGAGAGTTGTTGATAGCCGCCCCTCTGTCCTCTTAACATTCGTCAGGTGGTCATAGCTGTCAGATATTATTGAAACCAAAGGTTTGTGTGGAGTACGGGAATCGAACCCGTGAACACCAGTCTGGACGCCAATTCAGTTACTGACTGTTGACAAGTGTGCCTAACTTCAGTGATCTAACGAGAAATGGTGTCACACCCCATTATTTATGTTATTAGTGCATGCAGCTTTATAATTGTATCATAAAGACGCAGGAATATTTTCCTAAGATTTTACAGATTTCCTTCATAATTGCATACCTGCCATAAATATTCATATTTGGGACCACCAGACATTTTAGGACAGCTTTCTTCAGAACATGCCCTGTGAGAAAACCAATTATGTCTTATAGGGACAAGAGTTAATTCCAACTACATTGTCCTTCTAAAATTACTAGAATAATACAGAGAAACATACAACAAAATATCGGAAGCTGGATTTTACTCGGTGTATAGTACATATAACCTCTTACTTTGTTTTGTAAACATCAGATTCCTCCACAACAGTACTGTACAACAGTTTTATTCTAAACAAACAGAATTGTGTTCAACAGCTTTTGAAATGTATTGCAAATTTGGAACGTTTCGAAGACGACAAAAGTTTGTAAAAAATATTCTTTTTCAGGAAAAAATATTAATTCGAGTAATTTTATTTTGTTGCATTAAAGAGACTGTAAAGGAAAAATGAAAGAGTGTATAGGATAAAACCAGAGAATCTCAGGTTTTGAACGATACATATAAGACATCTATCTGATGTTTCTGTCTCGAGAAATTGATATAAAACGGTGTCAAAATTATACCAAAAAGGACATATGTCAGATTTTGAATAAAAGTTGTAGCATTAAACAGATCATATTCAACAATCTGAAAACAACTATATCTCACAGCAACCTCAAAATCTCAGGTTTGCTCCTGTTATAATTATTTAATTCTTATTTTTCATTTTTTATAATTGATAATATTATTACATTTAATCCGTATAGTTCGTATTACGTCACCAGTACTTCAGTCAATGGTAGTTCAGTATACTGGTCACGTGATTTCCGTCTGTACCACGTGACAACGATACTGCACTGTCATTAGCTAAAATGATTGTGACTTAATACGGACTATACGGATTATATGTAATAATATTATCATTATATATGTATCATTCTACGCCTGAGATTCTCAGGTTTTATTCTATACCCCCTTTCTTTTTTCCTTTACTGTCCCTTTAATACGGACTATACGGATTATATGTAATAATATTATCAATATATATTTATCATTCTACGCCTGAGATTCTCAGGTTTTATCCTATACCCCCTTTCTTTTCCAATAATAATTGGAATGGATGTGATATATTCAACTCTACATTTTCTATTATTAATATTACAGAATTAATTATAATAATTGAATGAAAACAGCTTTATGATTGATAATATTTTTGTAATTTTCTTTTTACGTCATCATTAAGTATAATTGATACCTTTTTCATGAAAATTATCTTTCTTTGCTCTTTTATGTTTAAACATGAATTTAACATTTATTACACTTTAAAAATTTCAAAACTATTATTTTTTACCTGTTATAGAAATCAACTAGATTGGTTGCTAGAAAATCATTTAAATCCTCGTTAGGGGGCAATCTTACCAAATCCTAGATTGTACTTTTTTAAATATTTGAAATATTTTAGGATTGACTAAATTTGAAAATAATTAATTGTAAAAAGTTTTAAAATGTTTTTTTTTGGTAATTTTTACCTTTACATTAACCCCCGCATCTGCATTTGTTGTTGAATGTTTATATAAACTGTATCTATGACTTCCTCGTTCATATCTGAACACACCTTCGTCTTATTATGAACATATCGTTATATAAAAAACATATCGTTTTGTGAACAAACACTTTTGTTTTATTATGAACATATCGTTTTTTTTAAATATATCGTTTTATGAACAAACTTATCGTTTTGTGAACAAACATATCGTTTTGTAAACATGCATATCATATTCTGAACAAACATATCATTTTTTTAAAAAACATATCCTTTTTTAACAAAAATATCGTTAAGTATCTATAAAAACATATCGTTTTATGAACAAACATATTGTTTTGAGAACAAATATCGTTTTTTAACAAACATATCATTTTGCCAACTATCGTTAAGTATCTAAATAAACATTGTTTTATGAAAAAACCTATTGTTTTATGAACAAACATATCGTTTTATGAACAAAAATATCGTTATAATAACAAACATATCATTTTGTGAACTATCGTTAAGTATCTTAATAAACATTGTTTTATGAACAAACATATTGTTTTTGAACAAACAAATCGTTTTATGATCAAACCTCCGTTGTTGAACAAACATATAGCTAAGTAAATAAACATTTGTTGTGTTTTGACCACAAATATCGTCTTCTGAAATCTAAAGAGTTTCCTATCGCTGACAAGTACGTCATTGAGTGAGCAGTTATCAAAAAAGTAACAAAAATGTTTTATTCTTAAAAATCTAATTTACTTTGTCTAATAATAGCAGCAATTTATAGTGAAAAATAATTTATTTTTGTAATAGATTTCCTGTAAAAATATAAGGTTAATACCTTTTTTTAACTTTGGATGTAGCAGCATCAGATTTTGAGAGCATAAATGCAACCTTCTTCATTTTTATTATTATAAATATAATATCTAAAGAGAGCACAATTTTGCATAGGAACAGAGTGATCGTCTACTCAATCTTTTTGCGATCATTTTCCTACTCGATTCGGTAAATAAATCCACGAGTCATGCTTTGGAATTGGATAAATGAATAAAAAAATTGTTTAATAAGATTTAGTAAGATTTTGATTCATTTGTGACGCTCTTTAGAACAAAACCTGAGAACTAACTTGAACAAACTAACTTAAAGGGAGTGAACGGCTAGGTAAGGTAATTGAATTGAGTATGCAGTGCTGTCGAAAACTTCTTTAGAATTCATTTGAGACATATTTCACTTTTTAAAGATCTGTAAATCCTGAGTTTGAGCGCAAATTCGACGTTCAAAACTCCTGATTGGGGGGTGGATACGCTTTCAGAATTAGTTTTTTTTAAATTATTAAATAACGACAACGAAAAATAAAGTAAAAATTATACAGTAATCTACTTAGATGACTAATAGGAACATATTTCAAAAAAGAAATTTGTCAATAAATTAATGCTAAAATCGATTATTTCGTTTTCATTATTATATTGAATTTCTAATTTTCTTTGAATTTATTCGCAGATTTCTTCAAATTCTTTAACTGTCGTCTTTTCAATAATAATTATAGAAAATCTGCGAAGATCTTTGTGAATATCGTGAAACTAGAATAATGAGATAATAGAAACTAATAATTGAACAAGATTACTTATTTTCGATGATAAGATTAATTTTTATTTTCTCAAAATGTTCCTAAACATGACGTCTGTAATTTATTGTAGAATATTTTTACATTTCGACGTTGCTAATTCTGAAAGCGTATCCACCCCCAAATCAGGAGTTTTGAACGTCGAATTTGAGCTCAAACTCAGGATATACAGACTTTTGAAAAGTGAAATATGTCTCAAATGAATCCTAAAGAAGTTTTCCACAACACTGCATACTCAGTTCAACTACCTTATATAGCCGGTCACTCCCTTTAAACTAATAACTAAGATAAAACTGATTAAAGAAGAGCCGAAGTTCAAAGCACCAAAATTAACCTGAACTAAATAAATGAAATGTTTAAATGTTTATAAACGAAGTTTACTGCTAGAACTAGGAAGTATTATAGATTTGATAACAAGCAGAACTTTCCACGTTCTATAATTTTATGATAACGATAATTATCTAGATTTTCATTTTTCATTTCATTAAATGTCAGTCAATTTGACTCCCCCTTGCACCCCCCGATCCCCAGGGGGGGGGGGGGTTTAACCCCTCAAAAAGTGTTTCAATGTGCTTTCTTCAGAGAAAATTAAAACAAATCCTAAACATTTTGTATTTTGCATTTATTTGCTGCCGACGATAAAACGTGAAATTTTTGTTTTCGTCATAGATTCGTCATTTTAAAGATAGAACAATGTTTAAATACATTTTGTATCCCAAACAACATTATCAAGGCGCATCAAAACAATAATACTTCAAATTCAAAGATCTTATTGAAAGAAGTTTTTCAAAAATCGCCGGGTTTTTTAACCTTTACTCACATTTTACGTATGATGTTCAATAATAAATTAAGTTGTTTAATATAAAATTAGATATGATTGAAATATGATCGTCGGAAATACCAATTTCTATGTTTCCAGACAAACTTGACTTAAAGAAATTTTTCCAAATTGACCCCTGAAATTAATAAAATGTCGATCATTTGAAAATCAAGAGGTTGAACTATTTCCCGCTGAATTCTACTTTAAAGAATATCTGCACTGTTAAAGGGAGTGACCGGCAATGTATGGTTAGTTGAACTGAGAATGTAGTATTGTGGAGACATTTTTTAGGATTCATTTAAGACATATAAAACTTTTAATGATGTATAATTACTGAGTTTGAGCATAAAGTCGACGTTCAAAATAAAAAAAAAATCTACAACAAACTAATTAGATGTTTAGGAACATATTTCTCAATTGACATTTTCTCAATAAATCAATGTTAGACTTAATTATTTCTTTTTCATCACTATATTGAATTTCTTATTCGTTGTGAATTTGTTCGCAGATTTCTTTATATTCTTCAAATGTGGTCTTTTCAATAAAAATTTCAGAAGACATTATAGAAACTTATAACTGAATAAGATTACTCATTTTCGGTGATAAAGTTTAATTTTTATTTTCTCAACCTGTTCCTAAACAACTAATTAATTTACTGTAGAATTTTTACTTCATTTTTCGTCGTTATTAACCCGATTCTCAAAATCAATCCTGCAAAATGAACAATCTATGAGGATTTTAACAATTGAAATTGCGCTCTTGCTGAACAAATATGCACCCTAAAAACGTCACATAGGTCTCAAATAAATCCAAATAAATCTCCACAATACTACATTCTCAGTTCAACTTCCATATATTGCCGGCTACTATCTTAAACAAAAAAGTGTTGTTTTATTTTTTTAAAAAATGTCATACTTTGAAGACTCTGTTGACATTTTTTACGGAAAGAGTGGAAAGAATTTTTGTACAACTTTTGAAGACCTAATATATATAGTTAATTGATAAACATTTTTACCGATGTAGTGCATGTAGTGTACGAAGTTATTATGAGGATTTGACAAATCTTTTACTTTAATTTATCTTAACCTAGGAAAAAAGTTCATTCTATCCTGACTCTGCGGAGCTAGAGCTCCTCATGTTCCCCTTATTATTGAGAAAATCAAACTTGCTTAATTGCAAAGTTGAAAGAATTTCAAAACATCTAAATCTCTGCAGAAAAAAGCTCAAGCTAAAATCAAATTGAAACTTGTTTTAGAACAATTTGTGGTTCATGCAAAACTTCTGATTGTCAGTATGTCAGTATACTATACTGCTATGTCTAATGTTTATTGCATTTTATTCAGAGATTTTGATCCGTCGCAACTGATTGACGAAATCATACGGTGGTTTGGTCCGATTAATCGATTCAAGTTTGACCCAAGCTACTATCATGCCCATTTCGACATATTTCCAACCTTTTCATATAATTAAAGCTTAACTGCCCATGTCCTTGATTCTAGATATATTGCGCCATTAAACCAGGAGAAAGCTTCAAAAATTACATACTGAATTCTCCTACAGTCACTTTTCTCCTCTGGCGGCAGTTTTGACCTTTGATTGGTCTAAAATCTGCCGCTGATCTGCCGTTGGTTCAGCAGGTGTGCGGGGAATTTGGCCTCTGACCACCGATCAGTTTAACCAGAGAAATGCAAAGGGAAACATGGGTGAAAATACGGCCAAAGGTATTTTCCCAAGGGCAGCATCCCTTTGGAATTTCCTAAGTGAAATTTTACTATTCATTATTTATTTCCCATTGGAAATTTCCCCAATTAAGTGTCAATTCGATCAGCTTAATTGGACACAAATAGATCATTTATTACAGTTTATTAAATTAGTAAATAAATGATCGTTTTGACAAATTAAACATGGAATATGTAAAATAGTTAAACACCAGGGAATCAGGTAATTAAAAACTGATCCATAGATTGCATCTTACGCAATAATATACAATTTCTCTACCCTCAACTAAACTTTCTGCACTCTGCAGTTCTCTGACCGAAGATAAAGTAGCTTTTAGTGGAGAGTGTATCAGACTTTTTAAATTTGTTTCTTCGCCCAAGCAAAATGTTCATAAAATATGTTGGCTAAAGTGAAAGAGAAAACAATATTACTTGATATTGTGTTTCTTCACAATCATATAAAATAAGGACAATTTTACAAAACTGCGTAGAAAGTTCTGAAATAATAAAATCACATCGAAAAAAAAATTGTGTTTTAACCATTAATGTCAAAAATACAGCGCTAAGTGATTTTTTTTTTCAAACTTTCAAAAATATTTTTTTGCTATTTGCACTGCAAACACGTCGCTAAGAGTTTGTCGCTAAGATATTTAGAGTTTACATAAAATATTTCTCAAAAAAATGTCCTTTTCTTAAAGAGGGCCTGTAAGCGTCATTTTAAGATGACCTCCAAGCAAAGATGACAATACCCGATTCACAGTGTCACCATTGAAACCTTTATCTGATCATTAAAGTGGAAGATATTGGCGTTTTCTGGGTTTAATAGTGTTTAATGCAAATAAATATTTGTTTTTCGTAACTATACAAATGCGTAAGTCACTTTGGTAGAAAAACCATAATTGAAAATAATCAGTTTTCAAAATTATAAAAATCGATATCTATTTCCATACTTGATCAGACAAAGCTTTTAAGGGTACCGTTGTAAATTGGGTGTAAATGATTGAACCCCAAAGTACGATAAAAACTTCCTGTAGGAATAATGTCTTGTTTTTCACCATACTTATATATATATATATATAAATCAATACTTATTAGATTAAACAGAAGGAAGGTATATGTGCAATAACACTGCAGTTAATATTAATCATATATCATAGTAATCAACCTTTATATTTTACAATATTCTAATTCCTCGTAAAATAAGCTTAAATTAAATCTGAAATGTGTATACATACGATTGCTCACCTAGACTCACATAGGAGGGGGATACACTACTTATATTATTATTATAGATTTATTTCGTACACAAAGGTAAAATGGTACAATATGATAAGACAAAAACAAGAATAAAGTATAATATATAAATATAGTTTCTAGTCGGACCATAAAAAGTTGATCATGGTTGCGATCTCATTATCATCAAAGTTGTTTAGAACAAATTATCTTCTTTAACTTTCAGTAATTCATGAAGAATGGGTAATTTTCTTTCTTGGTCTAAAGGAATATGATTGTATATCATATTTTATTTCACGCAAAATTTCGTTAGATTTCTAGATTGTACATTACAATCTTGTGCAATAGATTCAAGATTTTTACATAAAACAGTTCTTAAATCATGTTACTTAGATCTACTAAAAGTCGAATACATAGCTTATGACAATTTAATAAACTGGTCACAAATTGTACAAAACGAGTGCATAAAACTGTTTTAATATGAGGAACATTAGAAATGGGCTCAATGGGTAGATCAAATAAAATGCGAATAGCAATGTTCCATGAATTCAGAAGTTTTTGAACATCTCTACTGTATAAATCCCAGAGATTTGAGCCATAGAAATCACAAGTATATATATTATACAATTTTAACACTGTGGATGTATTAGCATAATGAAATTCTTGATTAAGAGAATGTATTTTAGAAATAGATTTACCACGTTTACAGCTAACATCTTTTGTCATAGAACCATTAGACTGCAGTGTGTTGCCCAGATGTTTAATTTCCGTTACATAAGGTAAGGGTAAATTATTTAAAAGTATCGGGCAAATATTATCAGTATTCATGAATATGAATATGATTGAGCTTCATACATACGACTCCATAACAGCTAATTTGACTAGGTCCAAATAATTGAAAAGCCGGGTCTCATTCGCCCAATGGAAGGTGAAAATGCGAAATCCTATGCCCTATAATTTTGATAATAAGCCTTTCGCTATGGACTTTTTGAAGACTTTTTGATACATTTTTAACCATGGTGGAAGTGCTAAAACGTATGTGGGGAGGGGCAATGAGTTTGGGAAGGAGTAATGGGGGGGGATTTTCCCTTTCGTTACTTACGAATATATATATATATATATATATATATATATATATATATTCGGAGTTCAGACCAAAAAAAAATGATATAGTATGAAAACTAATGAACTTTGGTCAAAAGTTTGATTAAGATTAAAATGTGCGTGCATGAAATCATTAAATATTAACTTATGGCGAAATACTTTTTTATTTGAATTAATATAAGTTTTAACTAACCAAAGCGATCGATATAGACGTTATTTCTCTGTTAGAATGCTAACCCTACAATTACGTTAAAACGTTAACCCGTTACAAATAATAAAACAGTAACCCTATGCAAATGTTAACACGTTAACCAGTTACAAATAATAAAGCAGTAACCCTATGCAAATGTTAAAACGTTAACCCTTTACTAATGTTAAAACGTTAACCCTTTACAAATGTTAAAACGTTAACCCTTTACAAATGTTAAAACGTTAACCCTATACAAATGTTAAATCGTCAACCCATTACAAAAGGTCTTATAAGCAATAAATGCGGAAGTCACTTTAGTAAAGAAGCCACAAATAAATAAACTGCTTTAATAAACAAAAACATGAATATCCAATTCCTACTTGATCAGGCAAAATTTGTAAGGGTACCGTTGTAAATCTGACCTTGCATCTTCTAACAAATATTAAAGTATGCGCTTTTTAAAACGCAAGTATCACATTATTGATTATTGACAATATTGAAGACGTTCATCAGAAATTGATTTAGATCTCCTTGCTATAATAAAATACAATTTGCCCCTTAAAACTATGATCATCATATGATAAGGATAATTTTGTGTGGTATTCTAATTTTAATTTTAATTTTAATCTAATTTTAAACATATGATTATTTGTTGGGACAATAATGATAATAACCAAAGAGAATATATTATGTATATAGTTTCAGCAGAAGTAAATATTTCCATTTACTGTTATAGCGCCGATATACGGATTCATAACTCTAATTGGATAATTAGATAGATAGAAAGATAGATGTTACCGCCATAATATTTCTATTGGTTCAGAATAGACAACAAACAGATGACTGAACCCTAATTGGATCAGGCGCTAATGGACTCGGCATACAGAAGTGCTATAGGGATTTGAAAATCAGTGCCAAAAACTCAATTCGTTTATTAGATTGGGCTGAAAGATCATTTTATAGAATGTTTGAATTAAAAAAAAAATAATCAGACATTTTATTCCCAATGAACAATTCTAAATGAGGGACAATCTGAAGAACGTGTACGACATACCTATGTGTGCATTATTAAGATAAGCTCATGTCTTTAAACTTCTTTAATTTTTGTCTGAATTTGTTTTTATTTTTGCATTCGTAAAAGTTTCCGTTTTCATCACAAAAATGTCATTTTATTTGTTCAATTATCAATACACATGATTAAGCATTGTTTTACTTGAATTTTACACTTCAAAGATTTGATAAAAAAGTGTTTATCAAAAATGCAAAAAATTAGTAATAAACGTGAATGTTTAATGGATTTTTCTATAAAAGCCAATTTTTCAGATGAATATGAAGTATAACTTACATTTTATTTTATAAAAGCTTCAGAGCTCTGATAAAGCTGTTTGAAGTGCAGTACAGTACAGCACTGCAGTACAGTAAAGACAACTGTACACGGCTTGTACAGCATAATGGACAGCTCCGACGAGGAAGAATTGACAAGGTACAACATTTTTTATAAAAATTTAAATAACATTTTTTTGTAATAATAGGCTTTTTGGGCGCTTCACACCGTCTTCTATTTTAAATTTTAATTCTTTTAGCATTTTCTTTTCGATAAACTAAAATATAAAAATTTGCGGATTTATAATTTTTTCGTGGATTCTAAAATTTTTACAAAAATCAAAATTTGGGCCTGATCGGTACAATTCTGTTTTGATGTTTATCAGTTAGAAGCAAACAGAACAATAAATAGACAACCAAAGTATAAATATTTATTGCGTTTTTGAGCACGGGCAACCGTAGTACATTTGTATATCTCCAGATTTCTCAATAGGGCAAAACTTTTGATTGGGATGAAGCCTAGCTTTGTAGTTGAACTCGTTATCTAAGGTCTCCACCAAAATGGGGAAATGACGAAAGATTTGGTTCGTTTGAAACCCTAAGTTTAAGGGGCATTTATTCCATTTAAACATTATGGAGCTACAGAATATGTAAATAGCACCTTAAAATATGTTTGATAATATGCTGCATTCACAAAATGCATTTGTCTAATAAAAGTGGGAAATATTATATTACTTTAAATCTAAAAAAACACAAATTTAAAAAAAAAAAAAATTTTATTCTAGTTTATCCTGGCTGCACAATCTAAATCTGCTCCCAGCGGAAACCAGTTCTAATTTAAGAACTAGTTTCCAACCTAACCAACCCAACCAATCCAACCATTCAAACCTGCAATCCAACCATTCAGACCAATCCAACCATTCAAACCAATCCAACCATTCAAACCAATCCAACCATTCCAATCAATCCAACCAAATCAACCATCCCAACCAACAAGCCTGCTCTAGGTCCCCCAAAACTACTGAAGGTTTCATTAGCTCCGAAATAAACCCAGTTTCCAGTTTCCTAAACTGTGAATCAGTCAGATTAAATTCTTCCATTAGTAAATCAGATCAGAGCAACCTTACTTCAGGCAAGAAATATTCAAAGTTAATTACATGGAAGTATAGAACTAAGGAGAGAAGTTGATTACATGGAAGTATAGAACTAATGAGAGAAGTTGATTACATGGAAGTATAGAACTAATGAGAGAAGTTGATTACATGGAAGTATAGAACTAAGGAGAGAAGTTAATTACATGGAAGTATAGAACTAAGGAGAGAAGTTGATTACTTGGAAGTACAGAACTAAGGAGAGAAGTTAATTACATGGAAGTATAGAACTANTAGGTGTCCTGTTCAATACAACAAGTGTTGATGCTAGATTCTAAATAGTTGTTAACTCTAGGTGTCCTGTTCAATACAACAAGTGTTGATGCTAGATTCTAAATAGTTGTTAACTCTAGGTGTCCTGTTCAATACAACTAGTGTTGATGCTAGAACTCAAAACCCTGCAATCAACCTTGGTAATTTCGATGCAGTAAGCAAGATTAAAACTGAATCTGATCTTGATCTTGATCTTAATCTTGATCTTGATCTTGATCTGGAACCTGCAGAGAATCATGAGACTGAAAAAGATCAGGTTTGTCTAAGATGGCTGGGAGCTGGGATGTCGAAAACATAAAAGATTTTTATAGACTTATATTTTTTGTACAATTGAAAAAAAGACATTTCTATTTGAAAATAAATAAATTTTACGCAAATTTAAAAGTCAAAACTAAATCATGAAAATACAACTTGAAGGCTATTAGAATTTTTATTTAATTTCAAAAGGGTGTCCCGAAAAACATAGGGATTGCGTGAAGAATTCGAGATCGTCATTGTTAAGAATTAGCAGTGAAATAACTGATTTCAAAATACATCTTATTTTGTTGGTGTTACAAATATCAAAATCAAAAAACATTTTAAAAAAGACGATCTCAAAATCGTTATTCTTTTCTAATTTTTATTGGGACACCCTGTATCATTATCTTTGTTGTAGACTGACCAACTAGTTTGCGATCTTCTAAAGAAGAAATTCCAAATCCAGCATAAAACTTCTATTTGGAAGCTTTGCCAACACTTCCAAATTCTTAAACAGGTTGCAGCAGCTCACTAACATTTTCATGTAAAAGTTGCGGGAAATTTGATTTTGCGTAATTTCTGCCAATTCCGAATATTTTTGCTTATATATGGGCTAAATCTTGTCCTTATCTGAAAACATTAAAGATGATTTCTTCACGAACATGTTTAACATTTATTTTTAAATTTTCACTCTCTGTCTCAAAATCAGATTTTCACTTCAGACTTAAGAACATAATATTTAATTTAAGAATTTACGACATAAAAAATAACATATATTGCGTCCAAAAACATGTTTTTACAAAAACTCAAATCCTGGCATCATCATCATTTATAATGCTTTTTACCAAAATGGATTCCTGGAAAAAGATTTAATATTTTTTCCACCAAATCAAAGATAATTCCAAAATGATAATAATTTTCATGAATATATTTCCCAGTACGATTTGAACACGGAGGTTCTGAGAAAGCCCCCCTACTCCTACGCAGCCCTGATCTGCCTAGCCATGATAAACTCACCTGAGAGAAAGATGACCCTCGCGGAGATTTACAGGTTCTAAATTCAGGGTACTCAACGCCTCTTAATAAGAAAAGGAAAAACGCTCAGTCTGAAACAAAAAATAATTAGAATTTGTAAACCATAACTTTGCTTTTAAACCCTGGGCAACAAATAGTAAATTAAACCTAAGGGTTACTCTCAAAGAGAATTTAGCCAATCCCTCGGTAAGAATTTTGTCAGTCATTTCAGCCTGAAAGGGAGTTCAAAGTGTACAAATCATGTAAATGTTCACAAATTATATGCAGTAGAGTACATTAATATAGTATGTTCCCTAGACTATTCATTTCAATTTCGAATTTTTTAAAGATGTTAAATAAACTTTATAATGAATTAGGTGAATAAAAAACATCATTTTATTTAAAGTTATAAGGGTAAATCATCGTTTGTAAAGTGAAAGGCATAGAGTCTATGTGAAATGATAATTGGTCAATTATAAAACCAGCCTATTTCATAATTTTGTTTTCTTTTAATATTAATTTTAGATTTTCTATAAAATGATGTTCCAGGGCCCAAAAGGTTATATAGCACAAATATGTGAAGTACACCTGCAGTATGGAAACAGTACAACAAAATGGCCGTTTTACACTTTTTTCTAGTAAATTCCCCTCTAATATATATTCTATTATCGTTGGTTACTCTGGATCTGGCGACTCTTCAAATTCGGTCAAAATAGTTGAGCCGTAATTTTCACAACTGAGTGGGCTAAAGATTTTCGTTCTAATTATTTCTTAGATTAGATGTAAGAAAAGTATAACACGTCAGTGTAATGTGAAAGTAACATTTTAATCAAAAACTATTTTATTTTAAAATTGTTCGAATATTCAGCTATTATTTAAACCAAGTTCCATTATAATAATTTTTTACTTTTTGCTGTCATTATTTTTATAATTTAAACAACCAAGATTAATTACAGAATCTGACGAATAGACATTTTAAAATTTGCAGGTTGATGCATTTCTGCTTTTCATGTTCAAAGTTGAAAACTATTTTTTATTTTTTATTTTCTTGAATATTAAAATGAATATGCTTTAGTTGGATTCGGGAAACCTTTGCCTATTACCAAAATAGCAGTCCTGGTTGGCAGGTAAATATTTTTTTAAAGTTATTTTGGTAAAAAACGTTTTAAGATATTTTGGTTAACATGTTTATTGATGATATTTTAGAGAAAAAAATCTAAGATTCATTAATAAGAATATTTAGGTAACAATTTGTGATTTTTTAAAAATATTTTGGTAAATAAATGTTAGTGAAAGTTTGGTGAAAACAAATATGCTCTTATTTTGGTAAAAATTATATTTTAAAGGGCCTTTTGGGAATTTTCAAAACTAGACAAAATAATGGAAAATTATTGTTACGACTAATTACTCTTACGACTTTTGTCAACGTCCAATTATTAAAAGCAGAGTTATTGGACTTTAATTGGAATTTTAAAAAATCTTCTCCTTGATTCCTCTTCAAAAATAGAAGAGAAATGTAAAGCATGTAAGGTTTCAATCTATACCACGGTTGGATTTTAAGCAACCACAAAAAGGTTGTGCCAAATCCGCGAAACAGCGCGCAAAGGTGCGCCGGACTCGGAACTCATACTTTTGTCAATCCTTAAAGCAGAAAGTTTATCAGAAGGACGTTAAATATGTGGCTCTCAAACCCTTAATGTGGCTCGGAAAAAAATCTGTAGGCGGATTTGCTTTCTCCCTCTCAACCACGCAATAGCTCGAAAAATATTAGAAACAACTTTAATGAATCAAAATATTTCTAAATAATTTTGATCAATTATTTTGATGTTTTTCTTCCAAAAAATATGTTATTTTATCGTTATATATTTAGTTAGAAGAGATTAGCTACTTAAAAAATATAATCATTGAATGTGTTCAGAGTTATGAAATAACAATTCTCTCAAGATCAAAGATCAAGACTGCTACATATGAAAAGTTGCAACAATTTTTAAAACTGAGTCTAACTAATAATTATACTTTTTGTTGCAATCATACCATCTATATTTTATAGCATTTGTTTTAGCTTTAGTTTTCAACACGTAAGTGGGAACATTGTCATCAAATTCTGCGTGAAAGCTTAAAATCTTAAGATCACGGGGTCCTAGTTTCAATGTAAATTAAGACTTTTCAACTTTTGTTAATCTTTGGGTCGTTCGGTTCAGTCGTTACAGACAGATTAGCTGTGTCGACAGCCATGGTATCAAAAATTAAAAACTAGTTTTAAAGCTATAAAACCTGAAAACACTAAACAATGTGTAGATTTTCTTTAGTAAGAAAAAAAATATGACTAAAAATATAATTTAAAATTTTAGATGTTTGCTTGATGAGCTAAATCCTAATAAATGCGTGTAGAAAATTCTTACATTTATAAATTTAAGGAATGTTTATATTTCATTATTCATGGCGCCGAAACTCAAAATGTGCTAATCAAATAGTTTCAATGTAAACTTATATAAAAGTCAATACGAATCCAATATTCACCAGAACAGGAAATTTTAGAACCCTTCATGTCTGAGGTAGCCATGTGTTTTTATTGTTTCCTTAAAACTTAAGTTTCCTTGAACTTTTAAAAGGCTCCATCAGAATCTGAGACGTTTATCATCTTCATGAAATTTTATGCTTTTTTAAAGATTGTACAAAACTCATTCTTTGACATAAGATAGACAGATCGAATCAGATAATTTGAAATTTGTTCATATTTTTTGTCTTGTCATTGCAAAAAAAACGTACAAACTTGAAACATTATAATTACTCAGCTTCTCATGGTCCATGGAGCCTGAAAAAAAAAACGAGAAAAAATTGGTCAAAGTTAATAATTAATTCCCAAGAACATTTTTGCTTACAAAACATTCAGAGCGCAATCAGGGATATTTTGTAGACAAAATTGGTCGAGGGAACCCGTAGTAAAGTAAAATATTGAATTTCCCAAAAAAATTGTTGTACACCATTTGATCGTCTTTAAAATGAAAATGCGCGAATTTTTTCTCGAATAGCAGAACATGTGGTTATTTTACATAAATGTTCCAAGGGATGATAAGCAACTTAGCCGTTCTCTCTGTTGGGAGAATCATAGGTCGGTAATGTTGATCAAAAGGCGGTAAAATAATTTTTAAAAAAACTAGAAAAATGATTTAAAAATATACTTTCGTATCCTTTCCTGGAAAATTCTGACGTCTTTACAATCTTTATTAACTTTAAGATAAAAGTAGTTTCTACCGGTCACTTTCTTTTAAATTACACGTGCGTGTGTAAATTAAAAAAGAAAAGGAAATTTTTGATGAATTAGAATTAACGAGAACTATATTAATAAATAATAATGTCTTACTTTAATATTCAATAATCACAACTTTCCCCCTCTAAACAACAGAGAGGTCAATTAAATAGTACTTCTATCATAAAAGGGAGTGTTCGCGAAAAAAAAGTAGGGTGAATACGAAACAAAATCTGCATTCAGTATTTTTACTCTTTATAAGTGAAAAAATAACTTTAAAGAAAAGTTTCTATATTTTTTAGCTTTAGTTTTAAACTTTAAGCCTTCTTCGAAATATCCAAATACAGAAAAATAGGTTTTAAAATTTTAAATCTATTTGCAGCCAAAACTGGGGTTCTTTTATCGTTCTTGGCTGTGAAATAAAAACTAGAGGAATTACTGGTCGCAAGGCCTTACCACTTAATAATCTTGCCTTGCATTAAACCTCTTTTCTATAAGCACTTTGTTTGTCTGTCAGTCTGTCATTCTGTTTCAATAAACAGCTGAACCGATCCGGCCTAAAGGAATTAAGTCTTTGATTGCATAAACCCTGGTTTTCTAATCCCTATATCTTTGCAACCGTTGTAGACCTTAGATAGTTCAAACTATACATTTTTGTTGATCAAATAATCTAAGTTTGAAACATATAAGGTTCACATCATCATGTTGCAAAGATGTAGGTATTGTAAAATAAGAGTTTGTGACTTAAACTCAATTCCTTTGCAGCGGCAACTCACTGACCCCAGTTTTGTTATTATTTTTATCTTATTTATGTTTACTTATCATATTTTTCCAAAAATAAGTCTAGTCTTCATTTTATTTTACCATGTCAAGTTTATATCTGAATAATTAATGAAATAATGATTCAAGTATTGACCAAAGCGTTGAGGTTAAACCTTAGGTTATTAATTATTCATATGTTCATTCCTTCTTTCTTTCTTTCTTTCCATATATCTATCTATATATATCTATCTACATATCTATCTATATCTATCTATCTATCTATCTATCTATCTATATAATATATCTATCTATCTATTAATATATCTGTCTATCTCTATATATATATATATCTATCTGTCTATCTATCTGTCTATCTATCTACATATATATTTATCTATCTATATATATCTATATAATATATCTATCTATATATATATATCTATAGAATATATCTGTCTGTCTATCTATCCAAAAATCTATTTACGCTAAATTGTCTTATATATGTTCTCAGACATTTTTTCTCTTTAAAAATATGAAAAGTGAATACCAAGGATGCAAAAAAATAGTACATTTTTAAGAAAAAAGATAATTTGATAATTGTTAATTTTTCAGAAAAGAAAAAATGTGTTTACCTTAATTATCAAACACTTTTATATATAAAAGCTTATCTGCGTCAAATAATTTTCCTTATTCTTTCTTTCTCATGTTTGTTATTTTCGTTCTGACTTAAATGTTCCCTTACATTATTACATATTATGATATTGTCTCCCTTCCCCTTCCTACCCTTAATCATAATGTTCACATATATAAATTATTAAAAATAAAGAACTTGAATAACTTTTGATCGATTGGATGCAGGTACAAGATTGTCATTCAAATTTCTAATGCTATAGGCTCATCTTCAATTTCAACTCTCAATTGTTGCTTTTTAATCGATTTTTTTTTCGTGAATTTAGAAAAAGCTAATTATTTTACGGTACATTTTTTTCAATTCTAACCACTCATAACCCTTGCGCGCAAAGCAGGGATCAAATACATGTATTTTAATTATCGTCTGTTCTATTTTTAAAACGTCTTGACTATTAAATGTCCAATCCAAGAAACGTCCTATCTATGAAATGTCCTATCTGTTAAATGTAATATCTACTTCCTGTCTTTGAAATTTACTATAGATAAAATGTCATGTCTATAAAATGTCAAGTCTATGAATTTTCATGTCTATGAAATGACATGTCTGTAAAATGTCATGACTATGAAACGTTCTGTCTATGTGAAATGTGAAATGTTCTTCTATAAAATTCAATGAAGCATCCTGTCTATGAAATGCCCTATGATAGGGTTTCCATTCGCAAAACTTTTGCGCAATTTTTGCGAAAGAAAGCGCAAATTTTTGCTTTCGTTGCGCTACATTTTTTCGCGAAAAAATATCACTTTGCGCAATCATTCGCAAACTTCATTTCGAGCAAAATTGCGCATTCCGCTTTTGCGTTATTTTGTTTTGCGCAATTTTTTTGGAACAAATTCTGATTAACAGGTTGAATAAAAGTGTAAATGGCATAAATTAGTTATCTATGAGATTGTACTCTTTTGCATATGATTGTAATGCCCAAAAAAGAACTCATTACTTGCCTAAAACTCTATTTCTGATGCATGATAGCACATTGCAAATCAAGATGTGCACGTTTCACAAAATTTGACATATCAAAGTTTAAAACCAAACAAAGATTCAGACATCTATAAAAATGTTTAACTTTCCCTTTAAAATTTATAAGTTATTAATTTTGGTAATTACAAGTAACCAATTGAGACTTAAGATCAGTATAATCATAATTTATTTGTATGTACATATTTGAATAAACCTTTTGTTGTTTAATTCTGTGCTGAAAATGTCAATTTTGGTTAATTTGCAACATGTTATGCATAAAATTTTACGTTTTGGGCAATACTTCCGGTTTTGCGCAAATTACGCAAAAAAAATTGTGCAAAAACGCACAAATCCCATTGCGCTTGATGCGCAAAAGTTTGTAACAAAAGAATTTGCGCAAAAAAATACGCAAATTTTGCGCAAAACAATATAGCCATTTTGTGGAAAACCTAATCTATGAAGTGTTTTTCTTTTCAATTATCTCAGGACCATAATATCGATTGAATAATTGTGATAAATATAATATAAAATATGAATATTTTAGAACTCCATCCGCCACAACCTTTCCTTGAACAAGTTCTTCATCAAGGTTCCCAAGGGACCGGAGGAGAAGGCAGGTAAAGGCGGATATTGGCAGATAGATCCTCAATACACAAAGTATACCAAGCCTCCGGAGGTTCTCCCGACCCCTCCGACCCAGAAAAATGTGAAACCTCCGTTCACAAAGAGAAAGTTTGCAAAGAATAAAGTAAAAATGAACTTCTATCAAGACAAGGTGGTTCAATCCAGCAGGGATAGAGTCTTCCATGGACCTATCATGCCAATATCAGGTAGATAAACAATTAGATTAAAGGGACTGTAGTCGGAATTTCAAGTAGCCCTCCTATTATAGAGTGGCATGCCCGATTAGCAACTGTACCCATAAACCTACATCTTGTCACCGCTCTACCTTAATAAAGTTTAGTCCTGATAATTAAAAAAAAAAAATTAGAGAGAAGATGGTGCATGATAACGCATGCATTCTTGATTAGACATACTTTAAGGGTATCATTGTAAATCGGAGATGCCTGCACTCTACAAGAGATTACTAATTTGTACTTGATCTTTATAATTCGAATAAGTTTTGTTTTGGAAATGCAATGGCTGGTTTGTGATTTTATTTATTATGCTGCGTATCTCATTCATCTTATTTTTAAATATTCAAGTTTTTTGCTTCCAGTTGGTTTTCTAGATATCTTAATGTGTTAATTTTATGATTTTTGTTATTATGATTTTATATATAACAAAGTTACATTTAGCGTAAACAAAGTTTTAATTTTTAATAATCAACAAAAATTAACTTCCTGTGATCTCGAAATTCCATTTCTAAAAACTAGTCCCTTATAACAGGAAAATACAAGCTCAACTCAATCAGCTGTTTAGTAAGGTCTACTCCACAATGTGCAATATTAAATATTTTCAATATATATAAAAACCAATATTAGTCGACATATTAGTTAACATTGTCTACCAATTATACTAATTGGCAGTATTCAAAGAATTGAACACAACTATTTACCTTTTATTATTTTGATATTGATTATTACTGACAACAATAATTTTGTTTATTTAAAGAGATGCTTAAAGTAAAATTAAAGGGGGTATAGGCTAAAGCCTAGAAATTTTAGTAGTTGATCGCAACCAATATTAGTTCTATCAGCTCCATATTTCAGGTATTTTACTTGGTAGAGACACCTAGTGGCCAAAGAAATGGTCGTCAAAAATACATCGTTTTATTTTAAAGAAAGCCTAAAATAAGAAAAATTATAACTTCTAAGAAGCGTGCCTAAAATATCTAGGCACCTCGGGGTTATAATAGTTTCCGATTAGTTCCGTATTTGCTTACTATGATCTATTTAAACTTTAATTTTTAAATAACTTGGACACAGTTTTATATCAATTTCTCGAGAATGGGACATAAGATAGAACTAATATTGATTGCGATCAGCTCCTACAATTTCTAGACTTTAGCCTTATACCCCCTTTCATTTTACCATAACAATCCCTTTAATTAATTTTTATTTTATAAGAAAAATCGTAATTTTTGTAATTAGAAATGTCATTAAGCCTCTTTTTTAAAATCAATAAGTTTTTCGGCCACAACTCGCGTTAACACAATCAGTTTAACCGTTAAGTATTTTCCAGCCAATTTTCAGCCAAAAACACAATTAGTTTAACTTATGAATATTTCAGCCACCGCTAGCGGTAATACAATAAGTTTAACCTATGATCTACCATCAGAAGAGAATCCATCCCGGTTCAGGAATATAACCCACATCATCAGAACCAATTCCAAGAGTATGAGAGACCCTTCCAACCTAGATTATCCAAATCCATTCAGAAGTATTTTAGCTGCACAGCACAATTCAAATCTGAGTCAGCCAACGCAATATTTTTCATCTTTTATCAACAACAATAACAACAACAATGAAGAGACTAAACCCCAAAGGTGTTTTATAAACCCTGGTCCAGCATTTTATTCTCAACAGGGACAGGATAGCTTTGACGAGGATGAAAGGGAAACAAAGCATTCTTTCTTCTTGGGACTAGAGACAATGAAACGGGAGTTTCCAAATTCTGGAAACAGTTGTTCACCAAATATTAAGAATTATGACGGTAAGGATCGATAAGTACTTTTAATATTAAACTAAAGGTAACATGCCCAGTCCTATGGCTAACATATATATATATATATATATATAGGGCTGGGCATGTTACAACTTTTCCTAGTCATTTCATTAACAGTTAGTTCAAACAGTAAAGAAAAATTTAAGGTAGCCATTAATTTTAAAGGTAAGAACGAAACGATAATTAACGTTAGATAATGATCTCCATATCATAAAAAATGTTAACAAAAAATTTTTAACAATCATTAATAGCTTCAGTCGTTAACGATCTATTACATTATTAACGGCATAAAGCGCCAAAAAAATTGTTAACGTTGCAGCCATAAAATTGTAAAAACAGAACTATTGTATTGACGCTACGTTCTTCAGTATAAGTCGTTTTTAACAATTTTCTCCTTATAGACCCAACAAATAGAAGTAAGATTAGTAGTGATTAAAAGCGATTATTTTTTGCCGTAAGCCTATACCCCCTTTCATTTTTCGCAAACACTCCCTTTAATATCAAAAAGGTAAACATTAGCTTTTGAAAAAGACAACAAATTTAATCATAAATGTTCTTTATACTTTCCCCTTTTAACTAAAGTACTTTTTCTAGAGCTGACAGATCTACAGAGCCCCCTTAGTCCTGCTGATATTAAAAATGGCATCAACCTGTATCCTTTCTTCTCTGCACCAATTCCTTCCGTGAATTCAAGAAGTTCCAGTGAGCTTTTAACATCAGCAACATACTCCCTTCCTTCCTCTTCAACCCAGTCAGTCAACTCAGGTCAATCCTTTTGTTTAACCAATACCGTTAGATCACAACAATCAACATGTTCCGTCCAGATGTTAAACTTACCGGCGTCCGAAGAAACAAATCAATTGATTAATGTGGATTCCAACTGCCCGGTGAATTCAGTACAAGTATATTGTACTCCAAAACTGACTAGCAGTACCCAACCTATAACTAATCAGGTTCTGTTTAATGACAAAAATCTACATTACAGTCTGACCAACATTGTTAATAAGGAAGACTCAAACGAATTCCAAGAACTTAGATCATCTCAAACATCAGACCAAACAGAGAGTCATGCCAATATATTGCCATTTAACCCTTCAAGTTGTACAGTTCAAGATGGCCAACTGTCCCTGCTGGTAACCTCTGATCAGCTGATGTCTGCAGATCAGCTGTTGTCAGAAAATCAACTGACGCCAGTGGATCAGCTGATGCAAGCAGAGCAGCTAACCTCAGACTATCAGCTGTTTAATTCAGAAGAGCAGATGCAGTCAGTAAATGATCCCGGCTCAGTAGAGCAACATGAATTTTCCAGGTAAATGAAATCAAAATGTAAGGTTTTTAAGAATAAATCTGTGAAATTTGAATTTTCATTAATTTTAAAAATGCTAATTTTAGATGTGTGAAGCAAGAAATGAACAGTATAGAAGAATCTCAGAATACTCAACTTGAAAATAACATTTCAGCAGAATCAATTTTTCGTCCCGGTGAGGAAGTTGGTGAAGAATCAACCAGCTCTATTCCCCACCTGGATTTGTATATCCGTCCTGAGAATAATGATTCTCCTAAAGCCACAGTAACCTTATCCAGTATTCCATCTCAGTATATTTTGAAAAATATCCAGACTATTTTATCCTGTCTTACTCCTCTACCATATCATATTATAGGTAAGTTTACATTATATAGAGTCGGATTGATCTAGAAATAACCAGTTTAACTACACATTGGTATTCACTAAAACCGACCTAAGGATATTTTTATCCAAGAGAAAGGTTCAAAGCTAATTTAATCTATTTTTTTCCTGCAATTGGAAGTTGATAGCAAAAAAAAAAATTTGTCCTACGATCGTGAGGGTATTTTTGAGCTATTTTTAATTCATAGTAAAGTTTTTTTAATTAAAATTTTTTTTGACGTTGCAATCCTTTTCAATTGTTAATATAAATTTCGTAGCTTCAATGACTTTGTCACATAGACATCGTATTGTCTCCTTTATTTCCAGTTTATATATATATATTATATATATGTGTGTGTATATATGTATTTATATTGTTTGATTATTTTAGAAAAAGAAGTAAAAGCTGGTTCTCCATTAAATCTGAGTTGTGATGAATCTTCTCTAAGTACTAATCAAACTTCTCCCCCTGTATTACCTAGTCCTTCCTCTTATCCTTCCAATCCATACACTCCGTCAGCAGCAGACATACCATCCCCTAGTACTCCTTGCTCTACATATAGCTCTACTCCATTATCTCCTACGCCATCAACTCCATTCCAGGTATATTCTACTCTATTCTTCGTGTGAGATTTTAATACAGGGTTACCCACAAAGAATGAGACTGTAAAGAAGACCGAAAACTCTTAAAATGTGACGATGCCAAGGTTAAATCTGTTTTTTTCTGCTTCAGATATAGTAATTTAAAGGCCTTTTATTAATGATTTGGCAAAGAAACAAACAAGTTTACAGTTGCAGGGAATCGTGAATATAAGGAAACACACAGTATAAATTCTGTACAATCCTCTCTGAAGTCTCATTCTTTTTGGGTAACCCTGAATTTACAGGGCCTGGCACGTTAGTATTGTTTCGTTCTAAAAAACTTCTTTTTAAGTTTTTTCTGATTTATTAAGGCAGTTTAACTTCCTTTTGGTATAATTTATTTCTCTATAAGGAAGTTCAGCATGTGTTTATATACAGTCCTCATGATATTGCATGAAGTACGCTGCTTAACAAGGACAGAAAAGTTCAGGTTTACGGTAGTAAGGTCATTTGAAAGTATGTTTTAGGCTGCCTTTAAAAGAAAAAAACCAGTTTTTAGAAAGTATATAGGGGGACAGTTTGTTTACATACAGTGAAGGAAGTGAAGAAAGTGAAACTGCCTTTTTAAATTATAATTATTTATAGTTAATTGTGCCAAGCAACAAGTAGCAATTCGTTTTCTTTCTAATACCTTCCAACAAAATGTCTACAATTGCAAAAAATTGCCTAATTTCTTTCTTTTAGGAAATGGATGACGACATCTCAGATAACGATATTTTGACTGGGTGCCTTGACCTTCCACTGTACTCTCCTGGTTGGAACAAATCCGCGAATCTGCAGCAGCTGAAATCCATCAATCAGCTGACTCATATCTCGGGAAGTACTCCCATTGGTCCAAGTATGGATAATTTTAATCTTCCACTTTTTGAGTCAACATTAGATTTTGAGACCATGATGGATTTTGATTTGTAACTTATTTGAAATTTATTGCAATTGTAAATTAAGGAAGTTTTTAATTCATATTTGTGATACTTTAGTTTTTATGTAATCTGAGTGTTACAATTCAATTTTACAATTACTTGTTTGTAAGCTATAAATCCTTTAATTATCAAAATTAATTACGAGGTTGGAGAGATGAAAATAAATCCTAACAAAAGTCTTCTCGTGTAAGTTTTTAAAGATAGAATTATCTTTTTAAATCCCACTTTTCTTTATTGTTTTTTATCTTATTCTAAAATGCAGAAAACCTCCCTATCAAACAAAAGGTCAAAATTATGAAAATACGTAAAATACAATTTTCTTTAAAAGACTAAATTGCTACCTGCATGTTTTCTCATGTGGGTTTATTACTGAACCCACTTTTTAAAAGGACTGTAAGCGTCATTTCAAGTGACCCTCTATGTAAAGATGACAATGCCTGTTTTCGAAGGTACCCTTAAAAAGTTTATCTGATCTTATATTTAAATAAGATTTCCTGGTTTTATTTTTTTATTTTTATTTCAATTTGCGGGTTCTTTTCGAAAGTGACTTGCGCATTCCTTGTTTATAAGAAACAATGGTTAAATTTTAAGAATTAAACACGTTGTTCGAGTTTTAAAAACGACGGTTTATTTTATATTTTTGATCCGATTAAGGTTTCAAGGGTATCGTTGTAAATTTGTTATTATCATCTATGCATGGAGGATCACTTTAAACTACACTTACAGTTTCTTTAAAAAAGTTTCAGTTTTAAACGACAAATTTTAGAAAGATGGTAAGAAAATTCTGATTTATTGACGATGCATTGTGTGCTAGTTTACAACATATTATGTATTAGTTCTTGTTTTAATTTAAACAATGTACAGTGTATACACCGTGCAGTGTAAACAGTATACACTGTACAGTGCATGTATACACTGTGCAGTGTAAACAATGTACACTGTACAGTGCATGTAAACACCGTGCAGTGTAAACAGTGTACACTATAACAGTGCATGTAAACACCGTGCAGTGTAAACAGTGTACACTGTACAGTGCATGTGTACACCGTGCAGTGTAAACAGTGTACACATATTGAGACGCAAACTTTAAAATATTGTCAACGAAAATTAATGTGTTAAAGAAAATTTAAATATTTACGAAATCCGTCCATACACTTTATTAGCTGCAACACAAATTTCTAAATATTTTATTTTTCCATTCGGAAAATGATAATCGCGATTTGCAACTACTTTGGCAAACAAAATGAAATCGTTAAAACAACACGAAAGGTGATTAGAACCCGGCCCCCTTGTTAATAGTACATTTAATATTGAAAAAATTACAAAAAATTTTTTTTGGAACATTTTGAGATCAAAACAAATAAGAATTTCCTGGATTTTCTTATTTTCATTGGCAAATTTACAAAGTTATGAAAGAAAAATATCTTGAAAATAAAACATTTTAATCACAGGGTCATATTAAATGTAGTTGACAATCTCTTTAAACCTTTTTTCGAAAATAATTTTCTTCCTTTTATTCTTCCAAACAAATTATTAATTGCGATTTATTTGAAATTATAGAATAGATTATTATATTATTTTTAGTGATAATTGTGATGTTTTATTTCAGTATTAGAAAGTATAACCTTTCATATCTTCTTTTTACAAAAAAAGTACTTTTGTATCAAAACAGAGCATATATATTCAGCATAGCAGTTCTGAATAGCTCTGTGTTTGTTTAAACTACGCAATTCACTTTTTTTGTAAACACAGATGTGATGTTTCTTTATTTGGTGGATCAGTAAATAGAAATATGAAATTACTCCGAAAAAAATAAAACATTTTTCGCTGAATTGTCTTTTAAAATTGTTCTCAAAAACTTTATATTTATAAAAATCATAATTGCTATTTTTCGCCGCCAAGTGTAGATATTTATCTATCTATCTTTACATCTATCTATCTATCTATCTATCTATCTATCTATCTATCTATCTATATTTCTATCTATTTATCTCTATTTCTATTTATATCTCTCTATCTATCTCTATTTATCGCTTTCAATCTCTATCTATTTCTTTTTCTATTTCTGTTTATCTCTCTATATCTACCTATCTATATATCTATCTTTCTATCTATCGTTCTGAACGTTTGCCTATCGATCGGCAAAGATATCTGTCTAGCTACTATTTTTCTACCTGTTTCTCTGTGTATGATATTGATTGTTTAAATCTGAAGATAATCATGTATTTAATACAGTGTTATTAACCAGTATTCCGATACATTTAACATATTATTTTGGGTTTAAAGTAATAATCATATAGATATTAGATCGAGTACATACAATTACATTATAGGATACAGGATACAGAATATGAATATAGGGATAAAAACACAAAATACCTATAGGGTGATATTTGTTAATGGTACAAAATGCTGCGCCTTTTGTCTCTGATTGGATGATTAAATTAAACACCTGGCTGGATTGGAAGCTATCAGAAAGTTGAAGCTATGGTGACAGATCTATGATAAATGTACATAATAAAGCTCTTCGCTGGCTGGTCAAACGGCTTGAACAAATTGGGTGAAATTTTTTAGGAAACCCATGGGTACCCGGGAGGTGACGTAGGGTTAAAACATTTGATTTTTTCAAAATTCGAGATTTCTAAACTTATTTTGCGAAGTATTTTTAAAGTTTCACGGCCAACGCTGGACACTTGAGCCAGTGGTACACAAATGAATTATCAAGTAAAATAAGTGGCGACAGAGAAATGAACCAATTATACACGACGATACAAGTGTCAAAAATAACTAGGAAAACGAGATTTTCTCACATTAGTTGACATGTTTTCCAAGTTTAAATAAAAAGTGTAAAAACAGAAAATAAAGAATACATTTAATGGCACTTATTTTAATGTTAGATAGGCACTTTACTCTGAAATCATCACTATTATTAATAATGTTTTCTGACACAAAAACTGAATTAACACTTGTGACGTCAAAATACAGTTGTACTGAGAGTGCATTCTACGTTGTCATCTATTGTACTAGAATCTATTTGGTGGGACATAGTACAGATCTATGGAACAGAATACAGTATGATACAAATTATATGGTACTTTACAGGGATAAAAGATACATAACACACATGAATATCTTGTGAATGAAGGATGCAAGATTCCAAATGAAATATATATAATATATATGTCGCCGTGCAGTGTAGTAAATGCCCTACTCCAGAAGGTTTATCAAACCCGTATCAATCCAGGTATAACCTTCCTTATTCTCAGGTATCTGTTTAACAAGATACAACTCAATCTTGAACTCAAGGTTCCACTCTCGTTGTCGCTAAACGAGGAAACAAATTACTCTTCTTGAACTGCAGGTTCTACAATAATACACTAGTCAATATCAATCCGGATACAACTCTATCTGTATCCTTTAGTACATATCACTCAGACAATACTAGATCTCTATAATACTCAATCGCTATCAATCCAGATAAGACGCTGTTGTATTCTTTAGTACGTATCACTCAGATATTACTAGCACCCTCAACTAAAACAGCATTATCTTTCGGTCAGGCAGAATAGGTGGGAGGAAATCCTGCCAGTACTAGTACAAAGTCATTTTCCGTTAGCTTGGCCTAGCGACCAAGTAGGGCAAGAAGTCGGGTTGGGACAATAAAGCACCAAGTCCCCTCCTATTTGGTCCAGAAAAGCCGGCACTTACCTGGTGTACTGGCA